AAGGACTTATTGAACGACCCTCGTAGATATTCGTGGTCGCTACATTCGAATCCGTATTTAAAATTAAAATTTTCGAACTGACTGACTCTTTTGGTTCGCCATATTGGATCTACTATTTTGAATTTCTGAATTTTGAATTTAAATTCGTATTCAGTATCGAATTTAAATCCGTATTCAGATTTGAAGAATTTCCAACTACCGAATTGTATCCAAATAAAGTCACTGTTTGCATTTGATCCACCATATTGCATCCGCCATCTTGAATTTTAAAAATATGATATCAGATTTGGATTCAGCGATCTCATACTCTATACTGAAATTTTCATGCAGTTTTAAAAGCTTTTTTCCAACATTTTTTATACGAAAGTTTAAAGTAAAATGTAAGCAAACTGCAGGCGTTTCAATTACAAAACCCCATATTTTTATTTTATGGTCATTATATTGGATCTGCCATTTTGGATTTTAAATTTTTTATGTAAAATTCGTTATCAGCCACATTGAAAACCTTCAAATGTCAAGTTTCATATCAATCCAGACATAATTAATAGATATTGGTCTCCATATTGAATCCGCCATTTTGAATTCCGAAATTTTGAGTTCAGATTTATAATCTGCGATCCCAAAAACCCCTGATTACCAAGTTTCATACAAATCAAGTCACTTTTGGTCAGCCATATTGAATCTGCCATTTTGAATTTCGAAATTTTGAGTTCATATTTGTAATCAACGATACCAAAAACCCCCGAGTATCGAGTTTCAACCAAATCAAGTCACTTTTTGCATTTTAGTCCGCCATATTAAATTCGCCATTTTGAATTTTGAAATTTTGATCAGAAATGGAATGAGCGATGCCGAGAACCTTACATATGTGTAACGGTGTTACATATGTTCACATATTTTAAAAGATATTAATTTTGGCCAGTTTTATTAGTCTCCTGGCCCACAGTGCGTTAAGTTAATCGGTCGGTTAATTCTCGCGTGCTGTACTACAGATTGTACACTTGCGACATTTGGAATACAACAAGCAAAACTACAAACAACATTTTATGAACAAATATAATTTCTCCAAAATTGAAAAAATTTGATTTTTTCAAAATATTGGAAAGTACAGATACAATAGAAAATACCGTTAAGCTAAACTCGACTTTTAGCTCCTACTCCCTTATAGAAATATCATACTAAGAATCATTGATAATTACTTATTTTCAGTATTAAAAATACTGGATAATAAGTAATTATCAATGATTCTTAGTATGATATTTCTATAAGGGTTGAACCTTAAAAATCTTCGATATTAAAAAAATATCGATGTTTGGTAACTGATATTAATTGGACGTCGATAGTATGTGTCGATGTTAGCATTGATGTCAAATATCGATGTATGTTTACCGATGCCCATCCCTAGTGCCATAATAATAGACACGAACACAATCTAACCACACGGTCCGTGCCTTGTCGATTCACTGAAATATATACTACCTGGAACGCACGCTACCTTTTGAATGTTGCGGGATGAGAGAGAGTATGCTTGTAGGGCTGCGTTCGCTTTGGGCGTTTATACGCTATAAGCGTCATTCTATCTTCTTCCCGCGTGTAATGAGTGAACGAAAGATAGAATGGCGTTTACAGCGCCCAAAGCGAACGCAGCCTAGGTCTTGAACAGCGCTCTGTCTTTGTCTAGTAAGTTTGAACCAAAAGCTAAGTCGGCTGATTTCTAAACATAAACTAAATCTCCGAATTAGGAACCATCTTTGCTTTGTTATTCTTAATAATAAGTCGATAAATTCCAGTTGCTCCATTACTTTATCTCATTGTTTTACTTCTCTTACTTTTTTATTATTTCTTAAGGAATAAAAGTTCCCGCCATTATATTTCAAATGTATTAGTGTAACTGTCAGTATAGTTGTTGAGAAGACGCACGCGCGTCTGACATTGCCGTGTGCCAGTTTAACGATGGAATGTGCAGTGTTATAATAATGCAAATTCTGGGCATTATTGTAAGCCCTAACTGCTATAATTTTTGTGTCGAGACCGATGCACACCGTATCAAGCTCTCTGATCGCTCACTCAGCGATGTGGCGAAAGAGGTTCGCTCGAGCTTAAAAGCTGCGAGAAAAGACGAAGAGGATGAAAATCTTGCTGCTGAAGAGCAACTTTATGGTCCTGGGATCGCAGACTAAAGATAAATTCACTAAAAGTAAAATTTCAATTGTTAACCTAAAAATATTAACATTCAAAACTTTGAACGTGTTTTTCTCAAAACAGCATTTTTAAAGTTGGCTAACAGTAGAACTCAAACAATGTTTAACCAATTTACTTAAAATTTTAACAGTATTTAAAAAATTAAATTTTCTAGAAAAATACATAGGATTTTTTTTAATAAGTTACAAATTTTTTTAGTTATAGTTGATTTTACTCGATTTTTTTCGTGGAAAAATGGTATTTTTTTCTTTTAAAATTCGCCATTTTATCAAAAATTAATATTTTCAAAAACGGCTACGTATTTCTCTAGGTACTGGAGTAAGGAAAATAAAAAATTTTTTTTTGTTCTAAACAAAAAATTATGCATTTATATGGCATTTATGCTGCTAGCCGCGGACACCTTGCCAAATCGACTGTCTCCTTCACGCTGTTGCAGATCCACCATTTTGTAAAATTTAATTATGAAAAAATTATTTTTTGTACTTCTTGACATGTCTAATAAAATTATCGAACTCATTTTTTAGTAGCATGATTCAGTAAATAAAAAAAAATTCTCAAATGTAGACTTCATTTATAGCCGGTTACATAAGGTTTTTTCGAGTTGCTTGTACTTTTCACACTTTTACACCTAATGCTCGTTGCACACTAGTGCACCTCAAACAACATAAATTTTCCAAAATACATTCTGAAGACATTTTCAGGACGGAGGGACGTCATCAGAGTATTCTTAGGACGTTCTTTCGTGGGACTCTTGCTTGGGATCAAGTGTAAAAAGTGTATTAGAATTGTATTTACACTCGTAACACGAACGGAAATTATGACGTCATTTTTAGAACCTCTAAAGAATTAATGTGCATTAAGTGTGAAAGTGTAAAAAGTTCAATTAATGCGAATAAACTTATTAGATATTAGCTATTTTCAGACAACTCACATCTCCAAAGGATGTCCTGAAAATATTCTGATAACATCCCTCCGTCCTAAAAGCATCTTCAGAACGTATTTTGGAAAATTTGTGTTGTATGAGGTGCACTAGTGTGCAACGGGCATTAGGTGTAAAAGTGTGAATAGTACAAGTAACTCGAACAAACCTATAGGTGTTATCCCTTACGAGACTCGTCAATGTGACGGGTTTCGGATTTTACTAGCAAAATTATAGAAACTATCAGGACCTTGAATAAGTTTTCGCTATTTTCCAACAAATGGCGTTACTAGAACTGCGTGCGTGTAGTTTAAGATGGTAACACATCTATAAGGAAGTACTATAAACAAGCTTGAAATTCAGTGTATGTCATTTCGGCGAAGTGTAAACAACTTTTTTTTCATAAACATGTCGAGTTTCGTGCCAAAAAAAGAGTATTTGGGGAATTTTACTGCACTACTTTATTAAAAAAAAATCTGCAGCTGAAGCACACAGAATTCTTGTTGAGACTTATAGCGACCATGCTCTGTCGGAAACAACATGTAGAGATTGGTTTAGATGCTTCAAAAATAATGATTTTGATGTTGAAGATAAAGAACGCTCTAGCGCACCGAAAAAGTTTGAAGACGAAGAATTGGAGGCATTACTTCATGAAGACTCATGCCAGACGCTAGCTGAACTTGCAGAATCATTAGGAGTTGATCACACAACAGTTTCGAAACGTTTGAAAGTATTAGGAATGATTAAAAAACAAAGACATTGGGTGCCATACGAGTTGAAGCCGAGAGACGTCGAACGGCGTCTTTTCACGTGTGAACAGCTGCTTCAACGGCAGAAAAGGAAAGGTTTTTTGCATCGTATCGTGATTGGCGATGAAAAGTGGATACACTACGATAACACTAAGCGTAGAAGATCGTAGGATAAGCCCGGCCATGCATCAACATCGTCGGCAAAGCCGAATATCCATGGTTCGAAGCTTCTGCTCTGCATTTGATGAGATTAGTTGAGTGTAGTTTATTATGAGCTGCTCAAACCGAACGAAACCATCACGGGAGATCGCTATCGACTACAATTGATGCGTTTGAGTCGAGCATTGAAGGAAAAACGGCCACTATACGAGCAGAGACACGACAAAGTGATTTTGCAACATAACAACGCTCGGCCACATGTTGCACAACCGGTGAAAACCTACTTGGAAACGCTTAAATGGCAAGTCCTATCCCACCCGCCATATTCACCAGACATTGCGCCTTCCGATTATCACTTATTCCAATCGATGGCACATGGCCTGACTGAGCAGCACTTCCATTCTTATGAAGATGCCAAAAAATGGGTCGACTCTTGGATAGCCTCAAAAGACATGTCGTTGTTCTGACGTGGAATTCAAATGCTGCCAGAAAGATAGAAAAAAGTAGTGGCTAGCGATGGACAATACTTTCAGTGACATGTTTTTTTTACGACTTTTTTTAAATAAAGCGTTAATTTTCACGAAAAATCAACGAGAACTTACTCAAGATCCTAATACTTTGACATATTTCTAAATCATTAATATGAGCTACGTCAACTTTATCTGATGACAAATGGTATTTCTGAACAATTTTATCTGGCAACTTGAAGAATTTATTGTTTAACAGTCCTTCCTTTAAGTTTTTAAATGCATGAACAGGATCAGAGAAGAAAAAAAGCTTACGATTTTTATTACAAGGATGGAAAATAGAATTCTGAATTTTTTAATTACGCGATATATTTATTCCGTATTCTCGCCACATTGCACGATTTGAACTACCCATATCTGAAACAACGGCATATACTCTCAACCCAATATTTTCAGTTTTTTCAATTATATCACAGATAATTTTTTTCAAATCCATCCCTGATACATTTCCACTTGTCAATTCATACGCAACGATTTGCTTCCACCGACTTGCAATTCCAGCTAACATGAATACTAAAGCATAATGTGCTTCTGCCTTTTTGCTTTTCAGTGTTGGTGCTCCAAGCTTTCTATCTAATGATGGACAATAAACATTGGACGGTATAATACTCATTTCATCTAATATTAACAAGCAATCAGCATCGATTTCCTTTTCAAACTGCTGTACTTTGATTTGCAAAAATTGAAAAATTTCCAAAATTATTCCAGGTGCAAATTTTAATACTTAACGATCTAAATAACGATGTAGTGTTCGAAAAGAGGGTAAAGGATGGCGTTGTTTTAATAACTCTTTATAATCAGCGGAACCACAAGAAAATTTCAAGCGAAAACCTTTCACCATTGTTTCATTAGACCACTTATATATCTTTTTGTGTACATTATTTAAAAGTAAAAGCTGATAATTGTTAAAAATTTTATCTATAGTTTGGTTTCGATTATTTACTTGTTTTTCTAGTCGTTTGAGTTTAGTTTTAGCTGCTCGCAACTTTTTGTTTGCTTGCATCCGCAGTCTTTCACTCTTCAACAATAACTGTTCCAATTTCTGGAGATGTTCTTTCAAATCTCCTCGGTCAGCAATAGACACTCCTTGCGATGAAACCTCTACGTTCTCATGTCTCTCAATAATTTCATCACAATTGTCATCAGATTCAGAACTAGGTTTAACTTCGGAAATATTGTTAATGAGGTTTTGTACGTCGAAAGTATGCCCGACATTTAATTTTTCTGTAAAAGTAACATAAACATCTTTATTTCCGGTATAATATTCATTTTGATAATGAAATAAAGTTGTACTATACTCTACCAAATAATGCTGGAACGGCATTAAATTTTAATTTTTTTTTGTCATCGACTCTCTGTTTCTCCCACATGTTTTGTGAAAAGTGAACCTGTTAATATGGATATTATTCTAATAAAATACTACTAGAAAGTATTTTTTATGAATCCGTTAACATTTATACTGGCAACATTATTAGTGTTCCAAATTTTCTCATGTTCTTTGTAATCAGTCATTCTATCAAAGTTTACATACCTCACAGATAGTTGTATATTTAGTTGGCATCCAATTTTCTCAACCCATGTTCTTTATCTATTGTGCTCTTCTAACATTATCTTTGGGAAAAGTAAACATTTGGAAACCTTTAGACGTCGAATTCGTACAATAATCTGCCGAACAGCCCGGCATATTGAACCTATACAAAAAGTAAAAGATTCATTAGTTTAATATTGAATATATCAATAATTGACTTCTAACCTACGCTAAGAACATTTTACAAGAGACGATAAAAACTATTTATTACAATAATTTTTTTATAATAAAATAATTTTTATATGGTTTAAAACTTTGTCATTTCTATTAATTTATAAGAATAAATTCTTTTTAAAGTACTTATTTTATTTCATTTTTTATTATAAGATACTCAACCATGGAGCACTCAACTATAGGACAGCAGTTCACCTATAACGAACAGACCTATACATCATTTCCGGTTTAGTCAAAACATCACGTCTTTGGCATAACTCTCCCTTGAATATCTCTACCCTCCTCTACCTATCCACTCCTTCTTCTCTATCCTAACCTCTTCTGCTTTCCAACTTCGTCCTCACTTTCCTATCCCTTCACTGCTTCCTCCCTGCAACCCACATCCTCTCACACTGCTCTCGTTACCCTTCTCCCCCTCTCACTCACACCACTCCTTAACACCAATCCTTTCTCTCTTTTTCTCTCGCACTCTCTCCACACACTTACTTTGACAAGTCACCTCACACACACCGGAAACGGAAGTCGGATACCCTGTATATACAAAGTGTATACAGAGTTGGCAAAAAGTCCGGAAACGGTCAAATATCTCGAAAAGGATCAACTGTAGCGAAAAATATGTAAGTAGCAAAGCTGTAGGGCTTAATAAAATGTACCTAATGATGGTCAAATTGAATTTTTTAAATTGGACCCCCCACTTTTTATTACATATTCTTGTAGCTTATTTCAAGGGCTTTCCAAAAACCTATAATAAAGTATTTTTTTTTTTTTTAGGTATATTTAGAGTTATGAGGCTTGAAAGGATTTTGATCTTTAACTGTTTCTGTTTCGTAAAAACGTATCACTGTCTTCTGAACGGTAGATTTAGAACTAAAATTGCGATCAGGATATGCAGCATTGAATGTGTAGATCAGTTACTTCTTCGTATGATCTAATATGGTCTCCAAATTTTCGATAAAGAAACAGCATTATCTTTTCTTTATCGGTTAACATTTTTAAAACAGAAACTTGAAATTGTAGTTGGAAAAAGAAAGGGAAAAGGTAAAGAGTAAGATGCGAGAGAGCACGACTTGTTTTTAAAATACAAAGATCGAGAAGCGTTATCGTGAAGCGCGGGTATGCGCGAGTTTTGACTGAGTACGTGTGACATTACGTCGTGAATGAATAACCGCGTTCGATGCGAGCGAATGAACAACTAGGCTGGGAGCCTAAAAAACATAAACACAGGAGAAAAACAAGAATAATTTTGTTTTTCGTGTCTCGAGCTAGACGATATGACCGGCTTAGTTGTTCATTCGCTCTCATCGAACGAGGTTATTCATTCACGACGTAATATCACACGTACTCAGTCGAAACTCGCACATACCCGCGCTTCACGATAACGCTCCTCGATCTTTGTATTTTAAAAAACGAGTCGCGCTCTCTCGTATCTCACTCTGTCTTTTCTTTTTCTTTTTCCAATTACAATTTCAAATTTCTTTTTCGAAAATGTTGATCGAAAAAGAAAGAATAATGCTGCTTATTTATTGAGGATTTGGAGACCGCATTAGATCATATCAAGAAGTAGCTGATCTATTCAATGCTACATATCATGATCGCAATCCTATTTCTAAATCCACCGTCAGAAGACAGTGATACGTTTTCACGAAACAGAAACAGTTAAAGACCGACCTCGCAGCGAAAAACCAAAATCCGCAACAAATGATGATAATAGTTTGGATGTTTTGCAATCATTTCAAGAAAATCCTCATTTATCTGTGCCAAGAGCAGCGCAAGCTTATAATATCAATTACAGCAGAAGCATTTTAAAAAGGCAGAGATATTATCTTTATAAAATTATGATCACTCAAGAACTTATGGAAGACGATTGTGATAGAAGAATTCAATTTTGTGAAGAAATGATGCATCGAAGTAATGAGGCTAATTTTTTAAATTTTGTTGTTTTTTCTGACGAAGCCACATTTGAAATAAACGGTGCTATTAATCGTCACAATTGTAGATATTGGAGTGGTGACAATCCACATTGGATGAGTGATCTTCGCACACAGTATCCATAAAAATTGAATGCTTGGGCAGAAATTTGTATTCGCGGTATTATTGGCCATTTTTTATAGATGGTAATTTGAATGCTGAAAAGTATGAAAACTTATTGCGAGATCATATTATACCTTAAATTGAAAATTTATTTGATGCAAACATGCAAAACATATGTTCCAGCAAGATGAAGCAGGACCTCATTATGCAGTAAGAATTCAAGAACTTCTAAACCGTGTTTTTCCTGATCGATGGATAGATAGGAGAGTTACCATTGAATGGCCTGCTAGATCACCTGATTTGTCTCTTCTTGATTATTTTCTTTGGGGACATCTCAAAAGTAAGGTTTATGCGACGAAATCACGTAATTTGGAAGACCTTAGCAACCGAATAACATAGGAAGCATCTCTGGTCACTTTAGAACAAATAAGAAATGTGATTAATAATTTCTATGAGCGTCTAGCTCATTATCAAACGGTAGAAGGAAGACATTTTGAACATTTGATTAATTGAGAAAGTGGAAAACGATATTTTAAAAGGTATGTCACCTACACACAGCAGAGAGGGTTTGGAGTCACTAAATACCGCGGAAGTGACGAACCGTGGGGTCCTAATTTCCGCTGCAACACACACACACACACACACACACACACACACACGAGGTGCAAATCCGACCGTGCAACCTCCACGCGGTGCACCTTGAGTTATGCTAATGCCGGCGGTATTTTAACTTTCAAGCCTCATAACTCTAAATATGCCTAATAAAAAAATACTTTATTATAGGTTTTTGGAAAGCTCTTGAAATAAGCTACAAGAATATGTAATAAAAAGTGGGGGTTCAATTTAAAAAATTCAATTTGACCTTCGTATGACCTTTGTCCTCCACCCAAAGTCAAATTTTTAGCCATCATTAGGTACATTTTATTAAGCCCTACAACTTTGTTACTTACATATTTTTCGCTACAGTTGATCCTTTTCGAGATATTTGACCGTTTCCAGACTTTTTGCAAACCCTGTATATAAAACAAGGTGCAACGATAAGTGTGTAACACGTTATACATGTATATTGAATATGTCATTCTGAAGGAAAAACGTCCTGTACCATTTTGCCAACAACCGCATGAAATTTTGCGTTATTTATTATTGTAACTGGTTATATATAGAGGCTTCTTTAATTAATAACTCTAAAATTTGCGTAATTATTTGCAAAAGAGTACAGAACTAAAATGGTTTTATCTAAAATGGTCGAATTTACAAGTATATGACAACTATTGGATCTTGTGTCTAATAATGATATATTGCATGTTGAATGCAGTGTAGCTAGAAATCAACTTTGGTTGCATTTTGTAGCATGAGGAGGGGACGCCGCACACAACTGAACGCCGCGTATCCACGTATCTTAAAGTGCGAACGCAAACGAATGCGGAGCGTTTATTTGTGCGCTATCCCTTTCACATGCTATGAAATGCTACCGACGTTCATTTCTGGCAGCACTGCTTGAATGTCGAATCATGGGTATGCTAAATATACAGTTGCTGTATAATTGTACATGAAACTATTCTTAACAAAACAGTCCTTAAGCAAATAACCATTCAAGTGGAGTTATTAATTACAAATATGTTTATACATGATTTTCTGCAATAATTAATAATGCAATTCTTTGCAAAATCTATATCCATGATAGAAAAGTATTATTAGTTGTAATAATTTGGGTACAAAATGATACTTTCTCGTCAGTCAGTAATTGTATTATTTGTAAGAACGATAAATTACTGATGAACAATAATGTATCACTCAATTTACAATCATACTTTTCTATAAAGGATGTTGAATATAGAGATCATAAACATATATATCCGCATTCATACATGTTCTTATATTTAATAAGTCTTTCAGTTTATCTCCATATATTATGCGGATAGTTTTATTAAATACAGATCTAAAGATAAACTTTAGAAGACTTAAAATATGAGAACCATCTATGATAATGAAACTAAAATATGTAAGATATGCAATTTATCTTTGTAACGTTTCTCCTTTCTATTGCCGGATTTCGCTCACCGGAGTCCGGGTTCGCGTGAGGGAAGATGAGAGAGAGAGCGCGGTCGATATTTACAACTTAGATTTATTTATGAAAGAAGTGTTATGTACAAAGCAGTATTTACAGTATGTATAGACGCTATAGTCGTGGTGCAGAAGGTACGACTCCGGTACGCGGAGCGACGGTTGCGAAGGCAACGTACCCGATCGCGGGGGAGTGCGGTCGCGTCGATACGCGGTTCCCCAGGAGTTAGGAACGACGACCGATTGAATCGGCAACACGGTCGTCGAGGTTGGGAACGATGTTCCCCAGGAGTCAGGAGCGACGATTGATTGAATCGGCAACACGGTCGTCGAGAGGATGCAAGAAGGGGACGACGATTGAATCAGCAACACGTTCGTCCAAGAGGATGGGAACGGTGGCGGTTGAATCGGCAACTCGTCACCAGGAGGGCGTCGTCAGGGATATTCTCCCGAACCGACCTCGGATGAGACCGATCGACGACTCTTGTCGGTAGCGGCTGAGTGTCTCCTTTATATCGTGTCGGCTCGCAAAATTTAACCGCGAGAAGAGGCCGTGGTATTCGGCCGGCGCCACGTAGCGGCGCCGTACCGAGTTAGCGCACGCCGAGGCTCCTTGTGACTTGTGCCGATGGGGGGATGGGAAGGGGTTCGACGCTACAGCAGTTAGATGCATGTGTGTGTGTGTGTGTGTGTGCGTGTGCGTGCGTGTGCGTGCGTGTGCGTGCGTGTGCGTGCGTGTGCGTGCGTGTGCGTGCGTGTGCGTGTGCGTGTGTGCGCGTGTGTGCGTGTGTGCGCGTGTGCGCGTGTGCGCGTGTGCGCGTGTGTGTGCGTGTGTGTGTGTGTGTGTGTGTACTTGTCTCAGAGTATCTATAGAAAGCGAACAACGGTGAACTATATACATGTAGCGAGGAACGTAGTGATGATATAAATTCCCTGAACTATATAAACTATAAAAATTATATAAACTATATGAACTGGGTGAGCGATATGGGCTATACTCGATATAAATAACGTAATAAAAATAAACTAATAAGAACAGTTGTCTCGTTACATTTTACTACAGCATTTTTGTACGATTCCTTAGTTTGAAATTGCTGTTCATTTATGTCCACAGTTTCCAAATCTGCTATTGGAAATTCATGTAATATATCACTTGTCAATGTAAAATTTTCATCTTTTTCTGACATATTAGAATCGTTGATTGTATTTAATATATTCGCCAAAATATTTTCGCAACGTTTTAATGAAAATTTTGTTTCAGTCATACTGTTTATCATAAATTGTTGAAATTGTTCTTCTCCTATATGTGTTACAAATTATAAATATTCATAAGAGCATTGTATAATATTTCCGTGCTAATGATTATGTAATATGAGATTCTATATTAAAATAATAAGTAGTATAAATTGTACACAGTGAACACAAAGTCACAGTAATGTAACATCTATATTATAATTTTCCAATGAACAATGTAAATGTTACATACAACTCGCGTGTTATGTAACAGTTACGTTGTTGAGTGAGAAATTATAACATAGATGTTACGTTACTTTATGTTTACTGGATATATTGTAATTGAAAACATGTACATGTACATGTACAAATTTACGATATAACAGATAAAATAACAATATTCAATTATATATACAGGGTGTTTAAAAAAAAGGATTACATATTTTGATAGCAGGTAGTATTGATCAAAAGAAGAAAAGGTCTAATTAACATGGGTCCTAAGACTAATATCTTCTAAGATACAAGCTATTTTGTTATTTGAGCTCTTTGTCATTTTCTTATTAGTCGTGTCATCTTTAGAATGTAATGAACAAAGGAGTAGGGGAGCCCTTATAGAAATATCATACTAAGAATCATTGATAATTACTTATTTTCAGTATTAAAAATATTGGATAATAAATAATTATCAATGATTCTTAGTATGATATTTCTATAAGGGAGAGTAAGGTACAATGGGGATATCTTTTTTCTAAGTGCCTTAAAAAATAAAAAATTAAACACTCTTTTGCTCACATTCGTTAAGGCCTACGCAATGTCGTTTAACTTGTAGTATCTATTGCGAACTAAACGTAAATATCAGGAGAAAGAAATGAAGTTAGAGTGCGTGATTTGAAAGAGTGCGTGATTCTCTAAGACGTAGGGCTCAAACATGCGTGAGAGTGAATGACAATCACATAGAGCACCTCCTCTAATGCTGAGTCAGCATTAAAATTTTTTGTTTTTTGTAAAAAAAGAGTTTTTATTTTGTTA